CTCACTTTCCCTCTGCTCAGAGCCCCCCAGTTCCCAGGCACAGGCACATCCCTCCACGGATCCCAGACCAAATCCATCCCAATCCTACCTGGGCTCTCCTCGCCGCAGCTCCCAGCCCGGGATGTGCCGGGGCTTTATATCCCTCCCGCCAGGATGTGGGGAAGGAGATTTTCCCAGGGCCTCTCCCACCTCCCCCGTCGGGAAAGGATCAGGGAGTTTTTTCTCAGCAGAAGGAGCTTTTGCTGGGAAAAGTTTCGTTTCCCAGGGCCTGGAGCCAAATCCATGGGGACCCTTGGCCGAGGAGGGGGTTGGGAAAGGGATGAGATATCCCGGAGTGGGAGAGGGAGGCTCTTTCATCCAGGGAATGCTCCCAGGCACCTGGATACTCTTCCAGCCTGGAAAGCCCCGTTTCCCCCCATCCCCACCTGAAAGAAGCCGTGACCTCCCATCAAATCCCCTGGGAAAGGATGGAAACCATGCCCATATTCCCTAGGGAAATGCTCACCCCACTCCGAGCCCTTTCCCTCGCTGCTAAGGGACCTTTTCCCGCTCTCCTGCAGCAGGGGGGTGGCTGTCACCCTGCCCGTGTCCCCACTTTTCCCACCCCGGTTCTGTTCCGTGGGCTGCGGGAAAGCTTTGGGAATTTCGGGAAAACAACGCGCCCCAAGGGCCGTGCTCCCGGATCCAGCCGGAGTTTGGAGACGACTCAGGGACACGGAGGGAAGGGGGAGCCCCGGGAACCTTCCATCAGCCTTTTTAAATCCACACTCCTCAAACTTCCAGCCCAGCATTCCAGCCTCAATCCGTGTCTCCAGGACCTGCTGCTGGCTTTAACCCTTCCAGCACCACAAGGAAAACCCCGGCAGTGCCTGCCATGGGATGAGCGGTGCCCTGGCCCAGCTGAGGGAGGAAAAACACCCAAAACCATCCCCTTTTTGCCCTCATCTGCAGCTTTCACCCATTCCCCATCCAGCTCCCTTGGCTGAGACTCCAGGGATCACAAACCTCCAAATTCCTGTGGAATTCCGGAGGTGTTGGAGCACCACACTGGCTACAGAGGCACCAAATGTTTGGTTATTCCCCCAAAAAACCCAAGAGATGGACGCTGCTCTTTGTCCAGTGCTGCCCACAGACATCCCTGGAGCTCCTCCCAGCAGAGCACAGCCCGGTGGGAATTGCCCTTCCTGGAAGAAATCACACCACGAGCATCCTCTGGGAAGGAGGAACATGAGGATTTGGGAGTATTTTCCACCGTGCTGGGAAAACACTCAGCCTGCTCCCTCTTCCCACCTTTTTTTTTTCCCTCCAATATTGCAACAAAACAGGAAAATGTGCCGGGGGTCATTTGAATCTCCCTGGAAAACGCCAGGTTCCTGTCCCAGCTTCCAAATCCAGCTCTCCAGAAACCCTGGGAGTGGCTGTGAGCTTTAGGGAACGCCAGAATCACCGTCATAAATCCCCTTTTCCTTCTAAACAGAAAGGGGTGGAAACCTCTCCTGCCGGATATTCCCGGCGGGATGGAGCTGCTGAGGGATGCAGATCCCAAAGGATGGTGTCACCCCCTGGCTGCATCACCTGGGGGGTTCAGCCACATCCACCTGGGCCATGGGACACCCCGAGGGTGCCGGGATCCCTCGGGATGCGGCCGGGATCCCTCGGGATGCGGCCGGGATCCCTCGGGATGCGGCTTTTTGCCGGGCATGCCGGCACCTGCCATCCTTCAGAGCGAACAAACAAGTTGCTAAGTCACAGCAAAACCATGAAAGCAAAACCACAGAGCCCCAAAGCGCCTCTGAGTCACTCCCCGGCCGCCACCACGGCCCCACAGCCCTCCCAAAATTCGCCGCCACCTGCAGCCGCCGATCCGCGCTCCAAAGGCGCCGGGAAGCGTTTTCCAGCCGGGAAAGCCTCTCTGGGTGGGCGCAGGCACGGATGGAGGAGCTGAGGTGATGCCCAAACCGAGCTGGCAGCTCCGCTCAGCCCTTCTTTCCGTCCCCTCTCCCGGATTTTGGCTGGATGGATTTTGGGTTCCAAGCCCTTCTTTCCCGTCCCCTCTCCCGGATTTTGGCTGGATGGATTTTGGGTTCCAAGCCCTTCTTTCCGTCCCCTCTCCCGGATTTTGGCTGGATGGATTTTGGGTTCCAAGCCCTTCTTTCCTGTCACCTCTCCCGGATTTTGGCTGGATGGATTTTGGGTTCCAAGCCAAGCAGGGATGGATGCCCGGGCAGGCGGCGCTCCCGGGATTAGATCCTGCCGTGAGTCCCGGAGCTCTGGCCGCCCAGGGAAGCCGGGATGCTCCCGGTGTTCCTGGGGACACCTTTGGGGCAGCGCTGCCCCTTCCCGAGCCCGGGGCTCTGCCGTGGGATCCCCCAGAGGCTGGGACGGCGGGATCGCTCCCAAATAATCGCGTCCCGTTTGTGCCGGAGGTGGGACCCGCGACGGAGCCGTGGGAAGCGGCCGGGAGCCCCGGGGGCGATGCCGACAGAGGTCACTGTTGCCGAAAAGTTGCGAGCCCCGGCCAAAAAAAACCCCAAAGGAGCTCGGTGGGGAAGGCGGCGATGGGGCAGGCACGGCGGCCCGGCCGTGGGACATTCCCGGGAATGATGCACCGGGAATCGCAGCCGGCACCGCCAGCCTTGGGACGGGAGAAGCCGCGGGACGCGCAGCCGGGGCCGGAGAAGGATGGTGAGGATAATTCCCCCCGGGAGAGGGAATAGAGGGATGGTCCCGACGGTGAAAACTGAGCCAGGACAGGAAGAGGAGGGAGCCCGTGGGACACAGCATTCCGCAGGGAACAGCAGCTTGGGATGGATGGATGGATGATGGATGATGGATGGATGATGGATGGATGATGGATGGATGGATGGATGATGATGATGGATGGATGATGGATGGATGGATGGATGGATGATGGATGATGGATGGATGATGGATGGATGATGGATGGATGGATGGATGGATGGACGGACGGACGGACGGACGGACGGAGGCAGAGGCAGGAGGGGAATCGCCGCTGCCTTTCCCAGCCCAAATCCCAAAGGACAGCACAGAAGGAGCGGGAGAGGGTGGTACAAAATACCCCAAAAAACTGACTGAGCACTGTGGAGACGCCAGCGGAGCCCGGCCTCTGTTCCCAGCTGTGCCATTACCGTGGAATCAGGGAATGACTGCCCTGGGAATGTCCCATAGAGCCCATCCCGTCCCACCCCTTGCCATGGGCAGGGCCGCCTTCCCCTCGCCCAGGTTGCTCCAAGCCCCGTCCAACCTTCCAGGCACTTCCAGGGGTGCGGAATGGAGTGCAGGACCAGGGAGAACCTGGCCATCCATCCTGCACGCCCCAGCTCCCCCGGAGCATCCCCAAACTCCCGGCAGCCCCGCGCCGCCTCCAGGGCTCCTCCGGCAGATCCCGAGCACCGCTCCAAACCCCAAATGTTCCCGCTGGGTTTTCTCCTCCCTCCCTTCCCCCGCGATTGGGAAGGGAGCAGGGCCTTACCGGGTGTTCCCGGTGCTCCCGGTGCTCCCGGTGCTCCCGGGAAGCGCAGCCCGGGCTCCCGTAACGGGCGCGGGCGGCCCGGGCGCGCTGTGCCCCGATCATTGGTCCAGCTCACGGCAGCCGCTGCTTTCAAATTCTGCTCGGGAGGAAACAGGAAGCCCCAGAGCTCCTCGGCAGAGCCTCCCCCCGGCCGCCAGCTCGCCTCCCTCCCTCGCCAAAGGCCGGGAATGGCGCTTTTCCAGCATCCGGCGGAAACCGGGAGCATCCCCGCGCCGAGCTCCCGGCAGGACCGAGCCGCCGGAGCTGCTTGGTTTCATCGTCATTGCTCGTTTTAGCGGTGGTGGGATGAATCCGCACCTTCCGGCTTCTCCCTCGGAATGTGGGATTCCAGCGGCGCCCTGGGAAGGCGGGATAACCCCCAGGGATCCATCGGGCGGCAGGAGGATGCAGGACCCCTCCAGGTTTCTCAGCTTTCCACCCCAAATCCAGCAGCTGGATTTTGGGCTCTTTGTCCAGATGAGATAAACGCGGGAGGCTCGTTCTGGGGCTGGGGTAGAGGCTTGAGGAGGCAAAAAAAAAGTATTTGTCCTTGGAAAAGTCGTGGGGAATCGCATTCCCCACCCCTGGAAGCGACCGAGGCCGGCGTTGGATGGAGCTTTAAGGGAGGTTTCCCTGGTCTTTAAGGTCCTTTCCAACCCAAACCATTCCAGGATTCCCAGGAAAGCCCGGTGTCATTCCCTGAGGGAAATCAGCCCGTCATGCTTCCCATTTCCCCAGCTTAGAAGGAAATTCCCCGAGCTGCAGCCGCTTCCCAGGGGAAGGAATTTCCAGGATCAGCCCTCGTGGCTCCTCTGGTTTCCCATCTGTTCACCGAATCCACGCAAAGAAGGTGATTGTGGAGTAGGTGTGATAAATTAAATTCATTCAGCTTTTTGTTCAATTAGAGCAGCTTCTGAACAGCTTGGGGAAAAAAAGGGATGAGGGTTGGGATTTGTCAGGACACCTCAAGCAACTGGAAAACTTCAGTGAATACACAATAAAGTTGTTCTTTTTAATAATAACTGGGTTTGTGTCATTTTTCTTGTTTTGCTGCCTTCCTCCCTCTGCTTGTCCCTCTGCAAAATCCCTGGGCTCCTCTCCTTGAGGATTCCCCTCCTTGGGAAAAAACAGGGATAAAAACCACAGAAAAAAGTCAGATTTGGAAGCAGAGTAAGCAGAATCCAAGCCTTTGCCTCTGGCTGCTTTTCATGGAGTGATCCCAAGGGTTTGGTGACGAATGAAGGATCTGCTCTGCCCAGAACCAACACAGAACGAGCCCTGCCCAAGTTCATCCCGGGGGATACGAAAGGAGGAAGGGAACACCAAGTGATTAAACCAGGAATTATCTCCATTGTCTGGAAATGAGATCCACCACAAGCAAATGAGTTATAAAACCCAGGAAAAGCACCATTCCCAGCCAAGGTCTTTCCCAAATTCCCCACAAAAACCACGCATTTGCACACAAGCCTTCGTTACAAAAGTAAATTTATTATGACCTCGCTTTTATAGCTCTTTTTTTTTTTTTTTAAATTCCTCATAACAATTTATAAATAACTCCTGGTCGGGGTTGCCACAGCTGGGGGTGAGTCTGGTGCTTGGGAAGGTACAAAAAGAAGGAGATTTTGGGAAGTTTGCTGGGACTACAGCACCATGGCCTGGGGATTCCCGAGGAGCAGCGGAGCCAGGCGCAGCAGCGCCCGCACGGGCACGTGCAGCCTCCGCAGCTTCAGCAGCAGCTCCGAGAAGTTCCTGCTCCCTAAAAACATCCAAAGCAAAGGAAAAGGGTGTAAAAGTGACCAAAGGTTTGCCCAGGATTAGAGGGAGAAGCTCCAGGGAGCTCTGGAGGTGCCATCCCGTGGATCCCTTTGCTGTGTGCTGGTTGGGAAGTGAAGCTCTGGAAGAGATCTCAAATCTCCTTTAGGAGAGATCCCAAATCCAGGAAGGAGGAGAACACAGAGGAAAAGAACACCCAGAAGAGAGGCGTGCAACAGGCAACTGCAATCTTCCACGCCCAGACACAGGAATCTGTGGCCAGCACAGGATTCCTGGGATAGACCCCAGATCCCTCATGGATGTGGTGACATTCCCACCCCAGGCCCCAGGAAGGAACAGAGCTCCCAAAATTACGTTCCAGCTGCCTTCCTCTTCCCTGAGTAACCTCAGGGCTGGTGTATTCCCAGGCTGCTGGAGGACAAGGAAAAGCTGCCCAGTGCAAGGATCCAGGATTTCCCTGGATCCCAATTCCAGACTCACCTTCCAAGCCTCCAGCTGCCAGCTGCCCCGGCGTGGGCACCGAGTGGTAAATCAGGAAACACGCCAGCATGCTCAGCTGGGATTCCTCCGGAGCCCGCCCGCTCAGGTAGGAATGCAGCATGCTCAGCTGGGATTCCTCCGGAGCCCGCCCGCTCAGGTAGGAATGCAGGGACACGTCCCCTCCGGCTGCAAGGCACAAGGAATAGCTTTGCTGAGGTTTGGGAAGCAGGATTCCCACAGGGAAATCCCACCATGGAGTCTCCATTCCCCACAGAAGGTGGGAGGTTGTTTTCTGAGCTCCTTCCTCCTGCCGCGCTCACCGCTTGCTTTGAGCTCCTTCCTCCTGCCGCGCTCACCGCTTGCTTTTGCTCCGGGAAAATTCTCCCCGTGCAAGATGAGGAAGGGATTTTGTCTGGGAAACATCGCTTTCCCTGCTAAAAACACCCCCCACCACTGCAGGCAAACACAGTTCTCCAGGGAATGTTGCACACCAAACTGAAAACCCTTCCCTCATCAGTCTTCCACACTTCTGAGGCAAAAAATCAACCTGGATCGGCAAAGACAAGAACCAGGTGAGCAGCAGGGGATGGAATGAGATGGGCTTTAAGGTCCCTTCCAACCCCCAATCATTCCAGGATTCCAACACTGGTTGGATTGGAGGTGCTCCTTACCTTGAAGCCACTGATCCAAGGTGTTATCTATGGTGCACTTCATCACGGGCAGGAATTCCGAGTTCATGAAGAGCCCTCGGGTTGGATTCCTGCTCATCCTCTCCTGGTGGCTCTGGGAGCTGAAGAATTCCAGCACCAGCTTCATCTGCCACAGCTCGAAGGTCTCGGACATTTCCCTCCTTTCCAGCCTCCTGACGGCCTGGCAGCGGGGAGAGCGGGAACTGGAGCAGGAGTGAAACAGGGAGGAGAGGACTCCTCCACCCCTGCCCTCCCTCCTCTGGAAAAGCACAGGGAACGGCCGCTCTTTGTCCCCTCGGAGAGCGGGAGGAAGCGTTGTCTCCAGCAGGAACAGGAGTTTCCTACCTGGTCGATGGCGATGTAGGTGGGCAGCATCTCCGGATTCTCCTGGGTCACGCACTCGTAAAGGATGGAGGAGAAAAGATCCAGGATTTCCTGTTTCTGAGGAAAGACAGGCACAACTCATCCCAGCTTCCTGCCCCCACTGAAGTTAATCCACGCAGTGGCATCACAGAAATTTGGAATAACTAAGGATACCACTCCATTTCTTCCTTGGGATAATTAAACTGGGTTTTATGCCCTCCCTTAAATACTTTTTTTTTAAGAAATTCCATATAAAACACCTTCTGTGACTTCCTCTAAATGTTTCAGGGCTCTCTGGATTTGTTAAACACGTTCCTCAAGGAATGGGGCAAAAAAAATCCCAGTTTCAGACCAACAGGAATCAGAGGATCGCCCTGGTATTACCCAATATCCTGCAGGATGTTCCCTGTTCCTGCTGACTGCAAGGCTAAATCCTGCTCTAGAGTTTAAGGCAGGTTTTCCCTAGTTTTTATCCATGGAAAAAGGGTTGGTCCACACCAACACTTCCTACCTGGCCCATGTTGGCAGTCGGTTTGCAAAAATAATCGGCGAAGGAAAAGAGAGCGGGATCGGAAGTGAAAGCGGAAATCGCTTCTGGCTGGGGGGGAAAAAAAAAAAAGAAAGAAAAAAGGGATTAAAACACATTCCTAAAATGAACTTTTTGGATCTGTGCACAAAGATAACAACAGCTGATTTCCAAAGGGTCCAGAACACAAGGGAGAAAACCAGAACCCACACCAAAGGCTGGAATCCATCATCTAAAGTTTGGGCTCAATGATCTGAATGCTGGACTCAACATAAAGGCTGAACTAGATGATCCAAAGCTTGGATTCAATCATCTAAAGCTTGGATTCAATGATCTGAAATTTGGATTCAATGATCTGAAATTTGGATTCAATGATCTAAAGGTTGGGTTCAATGATCTAAAGGCTGGACTCAATCTAAAAGTTGGATTCCATGATCTGAAGGTTGGACTCCATGACCTAAAGGTTGCACTCCAAGACCTGAAGGTTGCACTCCATGACCCTGGAGGGCTTTTCCACCCCAAATGATTTGATGATCAAGCACTTCACGGGCTGGAGGTGTCCAACACTCGTGTCTGCCCACGGCAGATGCAGCCACACGCGGCTGTCCTGTGAAAGCCAGCAGAATTCCCTCCCTCAGGAGCGTTCCTGGCAGGAACCATGCCGGGAGCGGTACCTTGAAGGCGCGCGCTTCGGAGCTGCGGTGGGTGACGGTCTCTGCCAGGAGGCTGCGCCAGCCCATGGGATCCTCCTTGTAGGAGAGCTGCCCAGCTCGGAGCTTCACGTACAGGATGCCACCCTTGGAAAGGATCGACCTGGAACGGCACAACGGGGCCCGTTTACGGAACCGGCTCAAAGAGAGGAAATTCAGGCTGGATATTGGGAAGGAATTCTCCCCTGTGAGGGCGGGGAGGCCCTGGCAGAGGCTGCCCAGAGAAGCTGTGGGTCCCTGCAAGTGTCCCAGGCCAGGTTGGACGGGGCTTGGAGCACTGGGGTAGTGGGAGGTGTCCCTGCCATGCCAGGGGGTGACACTGAGTGACCCTTAAATCCAACCTAAAGCACGCTGTACTAATGGACTGTGCTTCCTTTAATCCCTCCAGCTGACAAGAGGGTGATCAACGATTACACTCATTATCTTGGAGGTCTTTTCCAACCTAAATGACTCTGGGATTGATTAATGGCAAGTAAATGCCCTAAAAGCAGCACATTACTGAGCAAAGAGGCAGCTGGTTTCTCCCACCCCTCACTGGGGCGTGCAGAGATGAGAGCGATCGCTCCCCCGCCGCCCCCAGATCCTGTGTTCCGGTAAAATCTCTGGTTCCCACAGCTGCCCCCCGCGTTTCGAGCGCGTCACGAGGGCGGCTGGCGCTCTGTGACACGGGGTGACATGAGAAAAAGCCATTTCGCAGGGCAGTAACAGTCCCCAACAGTCTGGGAAAGGTGACATCACCACCACTCAAAACCAAACCAAAACCATGAGTTGTAGCTGCTCTCTGCTGCCTCCATCCCACTGCCAGCCTCTGTGGGTTTTACTATCAGGTTTTCCCCGACCCTGTTTTTTTGCATGAATTATTCACCTCAATGGGTGAAACCCAACTCTGCAGTTTCTTTCTTCCCCCCCCCTCCAAAGTGCTGTCAGATGCACAACAGTGACTTGATGAAACCCAGGTTTCTTTCTGAGCTGTGGGAGGGTTTAAAAAAAACATGAAATAAGATTACTACGAGGTCACGATTCAGTTGAGCATTAAAAAAACACTTACTGGAGATGAGCCGTTCCCTTGCTTAGATCTATTAATAATTCCCAGTACCGGGGGCCCTTCACTCTGATCTGTCAATAAAAACATTTTATTGTTAAATATAACCAGAATCATCGAATTAAGAGGTTTCCACTGGGTTTATTTTTTTTTTTTTTTGCTGTTTTATAGTGTTGCCCACACAGAAAATTCAGGAAGAGGTTTGTGTCTCCTGCTGCATCAGATCTCGGAGGATCTTGATCAAGACAGCAGACAGAGAATTGTCTTTGGAATCATAAGGGGACAGTGTCCTCCAGAGTCAGGCTAAGGAATCAAAACCCATCAGAGACCTCAGCTCTTGAGATCTGTGACACAAAATCCAGGTGATTTTCCATTAAAGCAGAGATTTCCTCTACCTGCTTCAGCAAGTGGAGCTCTGGGAGAAGCGTGGGTGCCATCAGCTCCTCGGTGGCCTCCCCGTACCACTGCGTGCCCTGCGAAACGTCACGGGAGCCACAGGTTAGGGAACACGGAGAACTCTTTGGCAGAACCACACACCAGCACCTCCTCCCCCTAAAAATTCCAAGAACTCCATCCTGAGCATCTCCCTCCTCCCACATAAAATAAATCCCGCAGAAAGGACTCTTCCCTGATGGAAGCACCACAGAGAAACACCAAGTTGCTCATCTCAGAACTAGGAGAAGGCTTGGAAACCCTCTGTGCCTTTGGAAATCCTCCTGAAGAGGGAGAAGCACCTGGGTCAGCCAGGACACCCTTCCTTGCCTGCTTGAAGCCTCTGGTGACTCTCCCTGTCCTCCCCTCTGCTCTCCAGGTGCCACCAAAGCACACCCGAGGTGTCAGCGGGTTGAGCCCAATTTATCTTTTTTGTGCAGAATTCACCTCGTCTCCACCACGGCTTGAAACTACACCCAAGACTGGAGGCCACTGCCAATGAAAACTGGGATAAATCCCAGAGTTTGCTCATCCCACAGCTCCTCAGGGCCCCCCAGCCACCTTACCTTGTAGGTGACCTCTATGAGGGCGTAGCAGGGGGTGTTGGAATCCACGTCCACGGGAGTGAGGAGCCTGGGCTCGGCCGCCAGCACGTACAGGTGACGCAGAGCCTGCAGGTGGTACCTGGGGTGGGAACCAGGAGCTCAGCATTCCCAGGGCTGGGAATCATCCCAGACACCCAATTCCACACCCAAATACAGCTCCTGTAGCCGTGGTATTGCTTAATTAACAGAACAGGGCTTCATGGAGCAGAACCAAAAGGGATTAAGGGTCATAAATGGACAGTTCTTCCATAAAAAACTTTCCAGCTGAGCAAACTGGAGCAGCCACATCACAGGAGCACAGCATTTTTTAAACGGAGAACCTCCAAAAGTAGTTTTTTGATAGAAATCCATCTTTTTGGTAGACAATCCATGTCTTTTGTAAAGAAGATGGTTCAGCTGGAGGACATGGGACCCCCAGGAAAGCCTTACCGATTGTCCGTGCTGTGAACAGGGAAGTGAGGGTACAGAGCACAGAGGAGAGCAGCAATGGAGGAGTTGGAAGTACTCAGGGAATATCTGTAGGAAAAAAACCCCAACATTATCCTTTAGTTTTCCTTCTGAAAAACACAGGAGGCCAAATTGGTGGGATGAGGAATTTCCAAAAGTGCATGGAGACAACAAGACTTTCTCTCCCAACAGAAGACGCCTGGGAAAATGGGGAAATGGAGGAAATGGAAGCAGAGGAGATCTGCCCTTGGAGAAGGCCCATTACCTTCCTCCTCCCAGGAAGAGGAGCCCCAAAGCCATGTGGTGAGCCAGGTGGAAGCCGTAGTTCATCTCTCCCCCCGTCTTCTTGTGCATGAAACGGCAAAGCTGGAGCACCTTGAGGTTCCCAGAGCCGGCCATGACCATGGCCAGGGCCAGGAGCAGGACGCTCAGGCACGTCTCCAGGTTATAGTGACCTGTCTTCAAGCACAACATTCCTGGCGGGATGATCCACCGCTTTCTACCCCGGAACTTGGAAACCACATTCCCCAGCACGAGGGAGAGCCAAGTCCTTCAATGATTCCCAGCCCTGCCACGTCCTATGTGTCATGTGCAATCCAGGAAATTAAAAGGGCTGGGCTTGTTCCCGTTGAGGTTTTGCTGAGGGCCACACAAAGCCATCTTTTTGCTGGAAGAGAACTTGGAAAAACTTACTATGGATGCTGTCGGAGCCGACAAACACTTCAGGAAATCCGTGGCGTATTTGTACTAGGAAGAAGAGAAATGCCCAGTGATTATGGATCCAAAAGGTGAGTGACAGCTCCCTGGGAAGTGAATGGAATGAAATGAAATAACCCTCCCCTTACCAGGCACTGAAATGCTGCCAGGTTTTCCGACCCGGCAAAGCGAAATCCCAGGGATAAACACGCTCCGGCGATGATGTAGACGTGAGCTTGCCTAAGGAACAACATAAACAGGAAATGACTAAATGTCCCTCTTCTCCTCATCTGAAGGCACAGCACAAACTCCTTCACCCCTTAAAAATAAAAGGGAAGACTCATCCTTTATGGGATATCCCGTGTAACGGGACGCTCCTTTACAGGAGGGTAAAATTCCCTAGGAGGAGATTTTTGGGATGTTACTCACGCCAGCGTTTCCAAGCTCAGGTCTTCGGAGGAAGGCAGCTCTGTTGCATGGAGAGAGATAATGTTCTCCCTTATGATCTGCAAAAAACCAGGAAAGGAAAATAAACCCATGGGAAAGCTGTTGCCTAACTGAAACTCTGGCCATCAGGAGTTGCTAAGGGACACCAAGCGGGTCTAAGGGAAGGAGAAGCTGTTTTCTCTCCCAACAGAGACCATCAGCATCCTGTAGTTCTCATAGGTATTGAGCTCATTTGGTTGTAAAAACTCCACACAATATCTTGGAATATCACTGATTCCACTGTTGGGAAATCACCCCCAATGCTCAACTCCACGCAGCAGTTTTGGACCTGGCGACGCAGGGAAAAGTTTAATCCCTTCCTTCCCCTGACATCATTTTGTGTCTGGAACAATCCCACCCCTCCTCAAGCACCTCCCTTCCAGCCCCTGGAGCTCCTAAAATCCAGGGGTCCTATGGAACAGTCACCTCTGTCACGTTAATGCTCATTTCCCTGTGCTCCTAACGTGACTATGGAAATATCCACACGGAAAACAATCCAGGGAGGAGTAAAACTGGGAAGCAAACACACCACACATAAACAAACACCTACCTGAGGCACATTGCTGTTGACCCACTTGGAATTGGGCAGGATGTCATCCCACAAAATCAGGCATCGAGCCAGGGTCTGGAAAAAGGGAGAAAACCAGATCCCGAGGGAGGAAATTTATCTACAGAATTGGGAAAAGCTATAAAAATACACCTAAAAATGAATGTAACGTTCCCCATAAATTGTGTCGTTCATCTACTTTTCCCTGAATTCTGTCTCCATGACCAGGAAGCTGCCACACTACAAGGAGGAATTGTTGGAAGGAGTGAGTTTGGCTGGGAAGCAAAGGATTCTGGATGATGGGCTGGAATTCTTAAACATCATTGAAACAGACTGAGGAACGAGCCCAAGGGAAATCTTACCCTCAACAGGAGGAATTCTGGCTTGACAAAGTCCAGGAGATACATGGTGTCCGGTGCTTTGAGCCAGTCAGCAATGGATCTGCAGGACACAGCAAAGGAAAAGGGTTTCCAGGACACATTCCAGCAATTCCAAACCTCAGCAGAGCCAAGGCCAGGGCACTTTAACCCTGCAGGGATTCCCAGGTCAGTACCTGTTGTTGGTCTTCAGGTAGATCATGGCAAGTGCCAGGGTGGCCCCTGGACACGTCACGTCCACGTTGATGGTGTCTCCTTCCTGGGAAAACACAGGGAGCACTTCCCACAGCTTCACTCGGAAGGGAATGATGCTCCCAAAGTCATGGAGACACCTCCCAGACTTCCACCTTCCGTGAGGCAGCACTGGCAGCACGTACCTTGATCTGGTAACTGGGGGATTTGTGCTTCTCCCTGTGCATTCCCGCCTGGAATCTCCGGTGTCCCCCCACCATGTACTGGTAGAGCTGCTCGGGAACGTTGAGGTCCGACATCCCAATCAGGTTACTGCCGTGCTAAGGAATGCAAGGAAGGAAGGAAGGAAGAGCATGGAAGTGCCCTCCTCCAGGAGGAAAACCCACAGGCAGGCAGGATGGAACAGCTCTTGGAATGCCATCCCAATGGATAACAAGTCTCCTAATTGCAGCTGACTTACCCCAAGGCACACCATTCCCAAGGCCAGCCCTGAAGCCAGGGAATAGGACTCTCTGTCCGTGCAATATTCCATCTCTGGGCCGGGAGGACGCCCTGGAGAAACCAAACCAGCAAAATTCACCTTTGAAAATTCCAGCTTATTGCTTAATTCCTACCAAAAGGAGAAAAAGAAAATATTATCTGTCCCTCCTTAGGGAAGTCCCCAGTGGAATGACAAGGAACTGGCAGCTCAGCCATCCACTCCCAAATAGCAGCTTCCTCCTAAATGTTATGGTTGGGAGTTTGGAGCCATGGTGACAATGCCAAGTTTAACTGAGGGTACTTCAATATCCCGAACCAATCCAAACGCTGCTGCTAAGAAAGGATTGCGCAGATCCGATTTCCAGAAACGCAACAATTTCATCCTTAAAACTGACCCCATTCCCTGCTTAATTAACCACAGTCTCCAAATATAGTCCCACGTAAACATGGAGCAAAAGCTGCTACAAATTAACTCAGAATGAGGGCACAAGTGAGATCATAAATCTGCTGTTCACATCAGCTCCGAAGGCCCAGTGGTTAAAAACCCTTCAAATTCCAAGCAGGGCAATTTAGGACACCAAATTTCCAGCTGGAAGAAGGAGGAACAGTAATGATGCCGCCACGTGTCTATTCCTAAATCCAGTGGCTTTCCTTTTTTACGCTGCACGAGCTCCTGGGAGGGACGGTGAGGTTTGGAAAACGGGAGGGGAGCGCCGCGGTGGGAAGATGCCGACGTTACATCTCCCGACGCCCCGCTGCGCGCGGTGGCCGTGCCGGCCCTCATCCCGTCTTTCCGGCGTCGGCACCCACCTATCTCAGCCAGCAGCACCTCGGCGGTGTGCCTGTGGGCAGTGCCCTGGTAGACCAGGCCTATCCCCACCACGGCAGCCACCTGGACGTTGTGGGGCACATCCAGCTCGGTGGAGGTGGGCGGCAGCAGGGCGGGGATGTGGATGCTCAGCAGGCGGGTGATGGCCATGTCCATGGTGCCCAGCTTGGCGGCCGAGACGCCGAGCAGGAGCCCGATACTCGTCATCTCGTGGCCCTGGGAGAGGGGATAAGGAGCAGCGAGGCACAGCCAGGAATGGGAAAAGCCCTGTCCCAGTGTTCCAGTGGCCTATCCCAGCGAGCCCTGAGCAGGGGGGAACGGTCTGGCGGTGAAACTGCTGGGAATCTTTGAACGGAAATGAAGTTTCCTCATCCCGCGGAATCCCAGAATGTTCAGGATTGGAAGAGACCTCTGGAGATCATCCAGTCCATCCCCCCTGCTCACTCAGAGCAGGTGACACAGGAATGCATCCAGGTGGGTTTGGAACGGAGCTCCTTCAGAGGCTCCATGCCCTCCCTGAACAGCCAGTTCTCTGCCGCTCCCACGGAAAGAAGTCCCTCCTGATGCTGAGAGAGGATCCTTCCGACCCAAACCACGCACCATGACCGTAAGGAAGCAAACCCGACACTCTCCCACACCAGGAAACTTCCAACCCAACAGCTCGAAGGAACCTGCTGACTTTTCCTTCCTCATTTTCCCTAAAGAATCCAACCCCACCGCGACCTGGCTCTGGGACGCGCCACAAGGTCTCACCTTCGTTAGGTAGTCGTGGATGTTGAGGGTGGCCAGCTTGGTGAGGTGCCCGTTGAGGCCCAGGGCCATGAGGAAGCCCGCGTACTCATTGGCCAGCTCGGCGATTTTGGGCTTGTTGTAGACGATCCAGGCGGAGTCGATCTGGGAAGCGGGAGCGATCTTCAGGCCGGCGGCCACCCCGTTGTGGAAGCTGGCCCAGCAGGCCATGTTGGGGGGCACGTCGATGTTGCCGCTGTTCAGATCCACCGTGGTGTTCCTGGGAGGAGCACGGCCTGCCACGGGAGAGGGGAGAACAGCAGTCAGGAAGAGCCAAGCTCTCCATGCTGTGTCAAGTGAGGGAACAGCTCCCATCCAAGAATGTTCAGGAATGTCAGGACAGCCCTCTGCAGGATCTCCATCCTCTATGACCCCAGCACTGACCAGTTTAGGCCGTTTTTCCACTTCTCTCTCCTTCTGTACCTGATAAAAGGTCCCAGGGCTTGATAACACTGGCCCTGACCATCCCAGAAGGATCTTCCACCCTTCCAGGTGGCAGATTCCAAGCCCAAAGGAGCAAAACCCACACTTTTGCGCTGAAATTCTCCTGGTGGAGAAGATGCTATAAAAATCCCAGTCACGGGATAACAGCTGGAATTCAGCCCATCCGGCTCTGGGATAGAGCCCCAGACCGACGTACCGGTGAGGTTCAGCTTTGGGATGGGCAGCTGCTCCGTCGGCACGGGATGGTAGGAGAACAGCGTGAACATTCCTCGTCCAACCGGGAGCGCCATGGTTCGCTGGCACAGCTGCAGCAACCTGGTGGGGAGGTGAATCCAAACCCACATGGAAAATTTTCCCAAATATAAACAAACCTACATACACTTCCCTCCTTGTGACTCCTTCCTTCCTTCTCCTTTGGAGCCAAACCTTTGGTCCTTACAAGGTTCATCCCCGAGATACCTTTTAGCCGTTTTTCCCTTAAAGCTGGATCCATAAACGCGTTCCAAGGACGCTTCCCAGCCGTGTCGGAAGCGAGGGGAGAGGAGAAAGCCAAGCAAAGGTGGCTGCCCTGTGGGATCCTGCTATGAGTGGTGATAACACCGAGTAATAACCCACGCACAGAGGTGATGAGGTGCTTCCAAGAATGCCGACCACAACTCTCTACGATTTAGTCTGGAAACACTTTCTAGACTCGTTAGATTACTCAGCTCCCTAGGTCAGACTCGGAGCACGCCGCATGGTGATGGTGTTCTCAGGCTGGCTTTTTAAAGAAGGGGTTTTTAAACCCCACCCCCCAAAAAAGTGAATAAAGAAGCAGGACAGGGATAACTGAGGCCACTGGGCACAGGTTTCACAGGAATGGGATGGGACAGTGGATGTGCTTTCTGTGGAATTCCAAGGTCTCCTGACTCAAGACCAGCCTATCACAAAGAGTTCTCCAGCTTTAGGCATGGCATGGATGGTTTGGTCTCTGCAGAGAAGGTCCTGCTTATATTTCGCATTTTTTGGGCAGAGCAAAGTGCTACAAAATTCCTTCAACTCAGTGTGCTGCTTGGAGTCCGCACTAAGTGTCCTACCCAAGAGCCCCCAACTCCAACACAGCAGAACTTTCTTTTCTTTTGGAGATATCCACGAACTCCAAAGACTTGGATTATGATTTTTTTTGAAAAAAAATTAGATTCTGAGCCTCCAAAGATATCCCCACAACCTTTTAGCTGAATGTACTGGGAAATAGAAACAGCTGGAAATGGAGAAAGTTCCAAGGCCACACTGGATGGGGCTTGGAGCTACCTGGGATGGTGGAAGGTGTCCATGGCCATGGCAGAGGTTGGAATGAGATGTGCTTTAAGGTCCTTCCAAACCCAACCCAAGGTATTCCATGCTTCCAGGATTCCTTACCTGTTTTCCTTCTCCTCGATGTACTCGTGGTCGCTGGCTTCCGGCATCTGCACCACGTTGACCCGGACGGGCCGGGCGCTCTGGAGGAGCCTCCGCACCTCCTGCACCCTCAGGTCCTCGCTCCAGATCAGGGACATCACCTCCTCGTTCATGTCGTTCATGCCATCCTCGTCCTCCTCCGACTCGGCTGCCGACGGAATATCCGAGGACAGCACCGTGCCCACGGACTGCAAGGGAGAGGGAGAGGGAAATTCCGGGTCAGGAAGGCACCACATGCTGAACTCACCCAGCACAGTGATGGGTCTGTGTGCAGAAGGGCTGGACACACCGATGCAGGGTCACAGCATTCCCATGCTCCTTACGCAAATTCAAGGGCCTGGAGGATCTCCAAACATGGAAATCAAGTGCTTTTGCACAACCAAATGGGATAAATAACTGAAGAGGAGAGGAGATGACACCTCAAATACATTGAGGAGGTGACGTGTGACGAAGCTCTTGTCCTTCCAAAACCTTTCCCTGCTCCAGAGCAGTTATAGGAAGGGGAAACGTTTCCTTTCCCTGCCTGCTCAGCCCAGATTGTGATTAGCCCAGTTTGTGACCAGCCCAGCCAGAGCTGCTGTTGTGCACATTCTGCTCCAAACCCCGCATTATTTTTCAAAGCGTCGGCCTTTTCACACATCAGTTTGGATTCCCTCCACGACCCCCTTGGAAAAGCAAATTACCCATTAAAACAAACAGCCTGCACAGCAGAAAATCCCAAAATTCCTCACCATCAGTCAACTTGGGGTTGACCACAGCACCCATATGGTTTTGGAACTCCCACACATGACCAGAAATGCACCAAGGCTTAGGAGCACTCTTGGAAAACCCTTTTTCCAAGGAATGCTTTTCTAAAACTCTGCTCTCCTGTTTGCTCTCATCACACAGGAGATGATGAAGGGAGCAGATCTTCCTGTGGTCCTCTGGGAACACGTGGCCCCAGGAAGGCGAGTGAATGAAGAGCTGATGAATGAAACCCAGTTTCTGCTGGTAAATCCACGCTCCATCTCAACGCGCAACTGCACCACCCAGAGCAGCAGCGTCCGTTCTGAAACAGGAAACTCCACCCTGCCCTCCCCAGAAATGACAAACAATTTGGGGTTTGAAGCTCACTTTGGCCTTTTAAGGTCAGATCAATTCGAGGCATTGTTATAAAGTCAGTGATAAGATCAAATCTAACATCGTTTTCGACGATTCATGAGGGTTTCGGTTGGGCACAGCTTCCACCAACAGCAAACAAAAAGGATTTTTCATGTGGTGGCAGATGGGGCCTGACCTGGAGTTAATTAACCTTTCTGCCAAATTAATTGCAGTTTTGATGTGCAATTAGTCATAAAACCTTTGTCACAGAGAACTGGAATAACTTTAATATCCTTTCCAAAGCTGAGACAGCAACAGAGGATCTGGACCAAGATGGGCTTGAGATTCCAAATCCCAATTCCTGGCTTTGGAAAAGGCTCCAATCTTCTGCCACGAAGGGATTTTATGTCAGCTTTACAAAGATTTTTGGCTCCCAACAAAGCAAATTTCAGTCAGATGCAATTCCTTGAGATGCTGGTGATTGCCACCATCAGAAGAAAATGCTGAAGAGACAAACACCACACTGGTTTTTAAATCATTTTACCTCAGGATAAAAATAACTAAAACCTTTTTTTTGGCGGGGGGGAAAAGAGAAATATGGCAAGTGTACTTCCAAATCCAGCTCTTCTAGTGGAAAGGAGGATGCTGGCCACGCCAACACAAGGAGCCACAGACTAATACCCACTTCCTTCTCCTTCTGCCGTGGTTTTTGATGGCAGAGCCTCAGGAGAAAGCACCAAAGGGCAGGAAGAGGAGGAATCCAACAGCTCTGGAGGTAAAACTTTTGCCCGAGTTTTAAAATGTGATTTATCTTGAGTTTTCCCAGCTACCCATGATTATCCATCCCCGCTGGATGTTGGTTTTCACACCAAAACCCTTGTACATGCAAAGCCTCCATTTTGTCGCCCTCGGTTTGGGAATATAGCTGGAAATTGCTGAGGCAGGTGCTCTGCCCAAACGCCGGGATTGGGGAATCCCTTTGTGGCCATACTCACGGATTTTCCCTTCTGCAGGCTCCCTTCCCAGGCCTGCTTGGACAAATCCTGGCGGCCGATGAGGAGGCAGACGGCTTCTGGCCAGTCCGAGGCCGGCTGCTCCCGGCACTGGTAGATGGCATCTCGGATGGGAAGGGCCACGCCAAAGGGAAGAGATTCCAGATCCCTCAAGGTGAAACCTGAAAATTAAAGAGGGGGAAAAAAAACAAACCCAAAAAAAAGTGTTATCAATCCCAGACAAAGAGTGTTTCCTGTTATCCGAGCACATGGTTATTTGGGAACGTTGTTGTTCTGCTCTTACCAACACTGGTCATCCAAAGCACCAACTTTTCAGCCAGGCTGGAAACAGAAGTGCTGGATTTGAAACTGCACCTGGAAAATTAAGGAGAAGCCAATAAATGCTCATCCAGAAGCCAGCAGGAAGTCACCAACTCAACCAAACAACAGCAAAAGCCTCCATACCGGCTGTCATCCTGCTCCATCTGCTGCTTCCGTTGGCCTAGGAAAGACAAGGCTGTGTTAATCCCATGTTTTCCAGGCTGGAGGCGCTCCCAGGATGGGGCCAAAGCATCCTTACCTGACATGATCTTGTACAAATAATGGGAGGCTTCGTTCAGCACGGCGCTCTCGTCCCCAAGGATATACAGGGCCACACTCTGGGGAGGAGAGACACCAAAAAAAAGTCATTTTGGGGTTGAAACTCCTTTGCTTCCCAGAAAAACAGGCAGGAAATAACTGGAATACAACCTCAGAAGTGGGGCAGGTGTATTGTGAGGAGAAGGAGACCGAAAACAACTGAAAACTTCTAAGCTTTAAATTTTGGGGGGAAAAAAAAATCTACCCTGAAACAATGCACTGAACTTTCCCTCTGGAGATTGCTCCAGAGATAAAAGATAAATATCTTCCCAAGGGAAAAATGTGTTCCCAGTTATCCTTCCTGTGCTTCTCACATTCCATTTCTCCTGCAGGACACACACTCTGTCTGTAGACACCCTTTTTCACTTGGTTCCCTCCACATCTTGGATATTTTGGGAAGGTTCCAAGTGAAAAGCTGAAAATCCAAGGGAATTGTCACTCTATTTTGACAATTCTGGGAAAACTTGCATCCAGGTAAAACGATTTTTGTGGGCTTTATGAAGATCTTTCAACTCTGAGCTCTGCAAGGGCAGATCAGGCAGAGACAGGAGGAAAATAGATCCTGGCTTTTTTTTTATTCCCTCCTTTTCTCCTTAGGCACCTCTGCTCCCAGTTGGAAGGGTTTTCCCACCAATGAGTAAGGAAGTGATGCTGAGCAGGAGATGCCTCCAGCACTCACAGGACTAAGTACTGATGTTGGGGCATGCCCAAGGAGAAAACTGGGGAATTCTCATTCCCAGAATCCAGATACTCCATCATTACTTTGTACAAACCACAGGAAAACACAGAAGAACATCCTTCCCGCCTGGAAAATCCATCCAGGGTGTGAATCCCTCTGTTATTTCACCTTCCTTTAGGGATGTTTCACTCCCAGGAAGTTCAGCAGCTGGGGCAATCCCTGCCCACAGGGCAGCGCTGCCAGAACAAGGCACATTCCCTGTACTCCCTGTCCCCCAGGACTCACCAGTACCACCAGTTTGCTCCTCTCACAGATCCCTGGTAAGTAGGGATAAGGCTGCACTCCCTCTCCCTTCAGGCAGGAACTCAGCCACTGGAAGATGCTTGGAGGCTCAGCAGAAAAAAAGGAGGGATGGAGCATGAAACCTGTTTGGACTTAAGATGAACAGCAAAGACCATGAGCTGCAGGGAAAAGGCACAAGAATTCCTCACCATTCCCAATTCCTCCAGTGTTTCCTTCAACAACAAAAATCCAGCATTTACACCCCCTAAAATGTTACAGATCCCTCCTGTCAGATGGGTTTTCATGACAGGAATGAAAGCTCAAGGCATCTCCTTAAGGAAGAAAAATTATCTCAAAGGAATAAGCAGGGGGTAATCCTCCAAAAGGAGGGGAATGTGAAAAAAACAAAGGGAATATCCAAATGTCACAGAACAGCCAAAGGCTTAAACTCACCCTGGTCAATTATGCAGGTCTGCCTGGAGGTTTTGACAAGTGCTGGGTAGTCCCTGTAGTAATAATCCATGTAAGCTTCCAGTTTTAAATCCCTGGAATGAGAGAAGGGAGTCACAGATTGAGGAAAAGCCATTCCAACCTCCCAGATGCCACCTTTGGGCAGCTGCTGCTACTGGGGAAGAATCTGGAGCCGTGAAACAAACAGGAAAAGTTTGAAATATTCCTTTCCTTCAAATACAGGGCAAGTTTGCTCCAGTTTGGGCAATCCCATCAAAAGAAATGATTTTCCAGTGGGAATACCTGGCCAGCTGAACCAGGAGAACCACGAGGGAGCGGAGCCCTTCTCCCATCAGACTGTTCAGTTTGAGCTCCTCGTAGATGAGGTGGAGAACAAAGAAAATGGCAGGGATGTGGGAGAAAAGGAGGGTGGAGGAATCCAAACTGAGGCTCTGGGAAAAGTCATCCTTGGAAGCAGAAACCTCCAGAGGGTCCAGGCGCAGAGCTTTGGCAATGGGATGAGACTCGAAATTCCTGTGGTAGTCAGAGCTCAGGAGATATTCCCAGTCCTAGAGCAAACAACAGAGGATCCATGGTGAACATCATTTCCAGAAAGGTAATTCCAAAGCACTGTTAGAGAGGAAATTTTTCCTTAAAAACCAAGCCAAATATAACTCAGGGAACAATTTCTTACCTCATCGGACCCAGTTTCTGATGGCCTTGCCTTCTTTGGAGCAATGACTGGAGAGAGTGATCCTTCAAAATCGAGCTGCAACAAATTAAAAAAAAAAAAAAAAGTAAATAAAACTAAAAGTAACAAATAGGAAAAGAAAATGAAATAGAAGCAGCTCAGGAGTGAAGGTTTCCTAGGTGAATCACAACACCTGAGCTCCAACCAAGTGGGACATAATGTGGCTTGAGATACTTCTGGATTTGCTGAACCAACCCCAGAAATCCCAAATCCTCTTTAAGGAACGACAATCTGAGTTGTGACCTGTGCTTCAACTCGGAATCAATTTAATAGAGATGAGATGAACCAAATTTCCTGCAGAAATTTGTGAGGTGTGAGCTGGACGCAAATCCTCACCGTTTCTTTTCACAGTAAGCACCTTGTCAGCCCCATGATAAATGAGCCTTGTAGCCTCATGACAAACACAGAGTAAAACAGGACTGGAAATCAGAAGTGAGGAATGAACTTGCTCACGTTCCGTGTCCAGCAGAGCCTCTCAGTGTTGTAACCCATCATGTTCATCAGACAGGTGACAAATAAATTCCACTCCGAGTGGTAGCTGGGCCCTCCCGGGGCGTTGTAGGCGTTGTACCACTTCACCAACATCTGCACAGCTGTTTCCTTGGGCAGGATGGCTTTCACCCCCTGCAGGCATCTTTTCACTGGTGGGAAAGAAGGAGACGGTCCATCAGCTCTGGGTTCCTGGGATTTGCCTCATCAGTGGTGGAAAACCCCACAGGTTCCTCTTGCTGGACTTGTTTTCAACTCTAAACAAAGCCACAAAACTCCCAACGGCTCTTCCTTGAGCTGGGCACAAATCCTCCAGTTTGCAACAAAAATAAGGAAAAATGCTCCTTTTTTTTGCTCATTACTGAAACTGCCAGTCTGAACTGGCATCTCAGCCCTTCCCCAAGGAAAGCAAAAAGCCACCTAAAGCTTTGGAATCCTACCTAACTCCGAGGTGGCGATTTCAGGAATACTGATCCGGACCATGGTGTTATTGCTGAGCTCCTGGAAAACCCAACAAAAGTGGAGACAAATCAGGAAATGCATCAAGTGCAGGCAGAGTCTTTTTCTATCAACTCAGAACTCCTTAGTGGGTGAAGATATTCCCACATCCTGCCTCTTGCTATAGTAAGACGTGGAATTCGGGCGGCAGCTCTGTGAAACACTGGAAATCTTGGAATTATCTGGAAATAATCTTGGTTACCAAAAGCGTAGCCCCAAATGACAGGGAAATACCTACTAAAGTTACTCTGTTGTGGACAGGATCCCTCAGAGCTTGGATGAAAGTCCCAAGCTGCTGGAAAGTGCAGTCCTCAACATAGGGGGAGTCGTGGAGCTTGGAAGAGTCCCTTAATTCCGGAACCGGTGACAAAAGCACGCTCTGGAAAGTGGGGAAAATGAGCCCTTTTTAGAGTTCAAATCAAACTGGAATTCAGAATTAAAGTGGATCTGAGCTGAAATTGTTTGGTTTAAAGTACTAACAAGAATCTTGGAAACAACTGAAAACCTCTCCAATCCCTGCCTTGGAAGTTTTATGGCAAGCAGAAATAAATGAAGAGGGCGGCACCACAAAAATCTTCTTTAAAACACGGTTTATTCAGGGGATTTACAGAACAAGAAGGAAAGATTCAACTCCAAAAAGGCACCTTGGAAGTTAAAAAACCACCAGTCACTACAACAAAAGGAATATTTCTTTATTTCTTACCTCTTCCAGGGGACCCAGGTGCTTGTTCAGAGGCTTGGATGGAGTACTGACACTATCCAAGGGAGTGCTTGGCCGAGGCATCGGGTTGGACATTGTCAGGGATGGAGCAGGAAGCCCGGGAATAAAAACCTTTCCCACCTTTTTGGTGGAAAAGGGAAAGGAAAAAAAAAAGTTCAGTTTTTCTCTGAAAAGAACCCCCAGAAAAATGATTTAATGAATGCCACGGATGCTTCACAAGTCCCTTTCCAGCACTGCACATAAATTAGGGATGGAAAAGCTGTCGCTCACCCGAACCACTCCGGAATAAAGCACCAGATTCCCGCTGCCTTCCAGAACCAGCAGAGTGTCAATTCCCTGGAATATTCAAGCAGCACATTCAGCTCCTTGTGTTCCATTAAGGAGGCACCAGCTGGATGACAAGGACATCCCACAGGTTAACAATACCTCCACTGGAGCCGCATCCTTTGCTGGAATATTGGTGACAGACCCGAAGATCAGCTGTGATTTATCATTGCTCTCTTGGAATTTTACACACCTAGGGATTAGGGAGAACAGGAAAGGTAAAAGGTTTGTCCTGGGTGTTGTTACAGAGAGAAAACACAGACTTCCAACAGTGCAGTGCTTTTTTTTCCTGTGGGTTTTGTGGCTCTTTCCTCTTTTATCCGGCTTTGCCCAAAATAAATCAACTTGTTTTTAATTTTCTAGTTAATTAAAACCCCTGATGTACTTCCAGCTGGGAACTTCTGGAGTGCTTCTCCTGGTTCGCCTGTCCCCAAGGAATGCTCACCTCAGCTGGAGCTGGGATTCCACTAAAAAGCACAGGAATTTCTGCCCACAGAGGTCGGTGGAAATGAACACTTTGGATGCCTGGGAATTCTTCTCTCTGGAAAAGAGACACAAGGACCAGGTTAGAACCTGCTTTGCTTTGGAGACTTCATGAAACCATTCAGAAAACCTGGGATAACATACCAGGGAAAACTGCTCTCTGCAAGGGAGCCAGGCACTTAGAGGAAATCATTTCCCAAAAAAATCAGGGAGTGCAAGTCCATGAATTGACTCTGAGATGGCTCCAATTGCGGAAAAACCACCCAAATAAGCTGTGATTTCACTTGAATTCCTGCTTCCCAACTCCCATCCCAAGAAAACCACCTGACCTCATGTTTGGGACCGTTTCTGTCCACAGGTGGTCGATGCAGAGCTCAGGAACGATGGGCTCTGTCTCTGGCACGAGGAAGGAGTCGTTGGCTACGGAACTGGGGGAATGGGTAACGCTGGGTCTCCTCGGGGACTGGGCACTGCTGGAGAAGTTGAACCTCTGCACTCCAGAGAAGGAATGGACTCCCAGGGCTGGGGAATGGGAGCGGCTGCGGGCAGAGACAGGACACGGATCAGAAGGAGAGCTTCAAAATCACGGAAAAATCAGATGCCGACGCGGCCAAAAAGCGGATACTCAAAATCAGGGAGAATCCCAGGGAGCTCATCCACTGACTTTAAATCCCAGCCAAACCCCAAACCAGGAACTAGCTCACTGTTGATTTCCCTTTGCTCTCTAGCACAGGAAAACAATTCTCTAATTATTTTCCAGGCATCTCTGTCGGAATGCAATAGATGAGATTTCCAAAGGATGTCAGATGGTTCATTCCATGAAAAATCCCTCCCAACCTCTTCCCTCTAATTTCTTTAGAGAAGCCAGCCCAAAACACCCCTGGGACACAAACAGCCTGCAGGCATTCCTTGATCCACGACAGAGCAGCCTCCTGGGCTCTGGCACAGGCATTATCCTCCTGTGCTGTCGGGATAACAGCACGGGAAGGGCATTCCGAGGGAATTTCAGGTGCTGCACCACGAGAGGCACCTGAGCCTTGGACAGAAAGACAGAGAGCAAAACACATCCAGGGGATTCCATAGGCCCCATCCTTGGGGATTTGCTGTGGGTGCCCACCTCAAAGCAGCCATGTTGGAGATGGTGGGAGAGCGGGATTGCAGGTTGGGAGAGGAGCCGGATCTGCTCTGGCTGTGGATGGACGAGTAGTTCTGGAAAGGGGAGCCCCCAGGGGACTCTCCTTTGGAGAGGCTCCGGAGGTGAGCGGTCAGGGAGCTGCTGGTGGCCATGTGCTGGGGGGTGCCCCCCTGCTCTGGGAATTTCAGCACCAGGCTCTGCTCCTAGGAGGAAAACCAACGGCATGTGGGCAAGGACAGCCAGGGAGAGGCTTTTCCAACAGCTTTTGCCAGCAGTTACGTGTTACAAATTCACGCTCAGCCTACAGAGTTAATCCCATCGACCCTGCTCTTCCACTCCCACAGGAACTGCTCCAATGGTTTTCACAAAATCACAGATTTGGTTGGAAAAGACCTTAACGCCCAGCCAGCTCCACCCTCTGCCACGGGAACACCTTCCCCTGTCCCAGGTTGCTTCAAGCACTGTCCAGCCTGGAACATTTCCAGGGATGGAGCAGCCACAGATTCTCTGGGAATCCCAACCCTCACTGTCAAAGTTTCCACGGCACCGAGTTACTTCCCACTTTTCTTAAACCTTCTGGTCCAATGCTTGGAATAACACGTTACTAACGGAATCCACGACCATCACCACCACGTGATCTCCCTGCTCCAGGCAAATCCATGGAAAAAACTTCTTAAAAAAACCAAAAGAACCAACCCCACCCAACGTCTTCCTCTTAGAAATGAAACAAATCCCAGGTGTTCCTGACAGATAGAAGGGCATGGAAACAGCCGTTTTCCAGGGATCTGCATTCCCCAGGGAACGAAGCGTACCTCTGGCTTGACTCTGCGGAGGGCCCAGACCGTGTGTAAGCTCTGCACAGTGTCGTAGGTCATCACGATGGAAGGGTCAGCGCTGAGGAACACGATCCTCAGCGTGTGGTCGGCCACGTACTGCACCCGGGACGATCCGAACACTCCTGGAAAACGGGGATGCGTGCCAAAGGATCAGCGCCACAAGGATGCCGTCAGCATTTCCCACGCTCTCTTCCTTCCACAACTGGAAGGAATTCCAGCTGTTCCCCGTGCAGCATCCCTGCTCACACCGCCCCTCTAACTGCATCCTTGGAAGTGACTCCTCCCGGGTGTTGTGATACAGGGAACGCTCCAGGGACATGCTGGGATTTGCTGCCACCCTGAGGGACTCCAGTGACATCCAACGTACCTCCAGACTTCCACACCAGAGGGGTGATCTCGTCCAAGGGGTGCAGCATGCTGAACATCGTCGGCAAAGGCTCCCTAGGGAAAAGCCGGACAAATCAGAGCCTGGAATGGGACAGCAGGGACACAGATTCCATCTCCAAAAGCTCCTTGGGCTGACCGAGTAGGCTCAGCTTCTCAGAGCTCTCTTCCTAATCCAGCTCTTCCAAGGACTAGAGAATCCCAGGGGAAAATCCAAGAGAGAGGATTAAAGATGCTCATTGTCCAACTGCTTCCTTAGGGATCCACAGGGGGCTTCCACAGGAGCTTCAGCCAGCAGGGAATGGGATCCCACCCAGCAGGGAATGGGATCCCACCCAGCAGGGAATGGGATCCCACACAACAGGGAATGGGATCTCCACCCAGTAGGGAAATGGGATCCTCAGCCAACAGGGAATGGGATCCTGCAGCTGAAACTGTCTTGATGCCAATCCCTTAGAGACTCTCCCAGTTGTCCATGACAGCCTGGAATCAATTCCCAGGACAAACCTTAATGGGATCAGGCAGCCTCTTCCCAGATCCTGTTCCCAGGACCAGCACTCCCAAATAGTTTTCAACACTCAGCTTTCAATGTGCTCACTCAGAGTCACTGGGATGGGATAAAAAGACTGGAGGAGTCACATCGATAAAATCCCAGACTGGTTTGGGTTGGAAGGGACTTAAAACGATCCCATCCCACCCCCTGCCACAGGCAGGGACACTTCCACTATCCCAGGTTGCTCCAAGCCAAGCTGTCCTTGAACACTTCCAGGGATCCAGGGGCAGCCACAGCTTCCTCCTCTTCCACCCAATTTCACCTTTTCCAATCAGAAACACACGGATCTCCCACCACTTCTCTCCAACTCCTCCACTCCTTATTAGATTATCCAACAGGAAACCACCCAAATCCCTCATCCCTTACCTGGGTGGACTTGGAGGCACCTCATGGGAAGAACTGCTGCGCTCAAATAACAACCCGTATTTGGTTGGCCAAACATTTGCGACCTAGAAAGAAAAATTATGGATTTACAAGGGGGGAAAAACAAAACCTAATCTCCTGCTGTATCCATTATGTTTGAGGGTTTTGCAGGAAAATAAGATGTTCAGGCTTTTTATGGAGAGCTGGGGAATGTAAATGTGGACAAAAAGGTTCCAAATGTGGACAAAAAGCAAGGCAGAATTACCTGGAAAGGCAGAGCAGCGATGTAATCCTTCCCCTCCATGCTGTGCACGTTTATGCAGGAATTCTGCAAAATGCAGATACATTTCTCCACTATTTCCTCACTGCCTGAAACTGGAAAGGAAGGAAGAAAACAATTACACAGAGTGAAGTTTCACTCTGTTTCAGACATCCCTTAGGCACAAAAAGTAAATTCTGACATTTCAGTGAATGAGCTCCTGGAGTGTGTCCAGAGAAGGGAATGCAGCTGGGAAGAGGCTGGAAAACAAGGAATGGCTGAGAAAGCTCAGCCTGGAGAAAAGGAGGCTCAGGGAAGACCTGGCTCTGCACAACTCCCTGACAGGAGGGTGGAGCCAGGTGGGGGTGAGGCTCTGCTTCCAGGGAACAAGGGACAGGATAAGAGAGAACAGCCCCAAGATGCACCAGGGGAGATTCAGGGTGGATACTGAGAAAATTACTTCCCCAAAAGGGTGTCCAGCCAGGCACAGGGCTATAAAAGCCATGTGGATGTGGCACCTGGGGACGTGGTTTTGCGGTGGCCTTGGCAACAGCTGGACTCGGCGGCCTCCGAGGGCTTTCCCAACCTAAACAATTCCATGATTCCAAGCCAAGGGAGCTGAGCTCTGAGCATCTGCCCAGCAGCACAAGAAACAGGACACTCACCATCAGCTTTTTCCGATTTTTCCTGGGGGATAGTGAAGTCACACCACAAGGCCTGAAAGCCAACACAGCATCATCAGTTCTCCAGAACGAGCTGCTGCTCCCACACAACGTCACCTTCCCGTGCTCCCCCGCACAACCCCACCCCAAAACACGGTCTGGACAGGGTCTGTGGATTCTCTCAGTGCCTCTTCCCCACGTTTCCACACCTGCAGGACGGGGCTGTCGACGGTGAATGCCTTGTACACAGCGGATGCTTGGCTTCTGCTGCCCTTGCTCCAGATGACCACGTTGCTGGCCACGTACAGCTCCTCGTCGTAGTCCACCTCCTCCCCGACATCACTGATGCCTTTCCTCAGCTGCCAGCTTTCCTGGAAAACAGGGGTTTGTCAAGGAAAAGCCGCAACACCCTCGGGTGTGATGAGTTTGGCCAGCACAGAGAAGCTGTGTCTTCTCCTGGATCCCTGGAAGTGTCCCAGGACAGCTTGGATGGGGCTTGGAGCAATCCGGGATAGTGGAAGGTGTCCCTGCCCATGGCAGGGGGTGGAATGGTGGAATGAGATGATCCCTTCCAACCCAAAATACCCTGTCATTCCAAGGTAAAGGGCCATCAGGATCCATTTAGATTTATTTTGATGGAAGCCAGGGAGGAAAGGGTAAGGGAGACCCTTCATGCAGTTCTGAGATTCAGAGTGAACCCCCCTGCTCCCTAAACCCCTCCTCAGCGAGGAGCTGGGATGCAGATGCATCCAGTCTTAGGCTCGATCTCCACCAGAGCTGGGGGTGTTCACCTGGAGAAGCCTCCAAGGAGACCTTAATACCCCTTCCAGTGCCTGAAGGGGCTCCAGGAGAGCTGGAGTGGGACTTGGACCCGAGTCTGGATTGACAGCACAAGGGGAAGGAATCCGATCCTGCCCCAGAGGGCAGGGTCGGATGGGATACTGGATGGAATTCATCACGGCGGTGAGGCCCTGGCAAAGGCAGCCCCATCCCTGCAAGCCCAGGCCGGGCTGGAGGAGCCTTGGAGCAGCCTGGAAGGTGCCCCAGCCCACGGCGGCGGGAGGGAACCGGATGGGCTTTAAGTTCCCTTCCCTCCCAACCCCCCTGGAATCCCCGGCTCAGGAGGGCTCGTACCCGGTGCCGGTCGTGGATCGTGACCTCTCGGAGCGAGCCCACGAGCCCCGCGGCGCCGTCGGAGGAGCAGAGCTCCGGCGCGGGCTGGAGCCGCCGCAGCTGCAGGCTCAG